CCTACTGCATCGTCGTTCCCCAGTGAAGATATGTGGTCCAATTTGGTTTTGACCGATCGGTCAGCCCGGGTTAATAACCATGCAAGTAGGTTTTTTTCTTTTTTACAAGTAGGTCAATTAAGAAGGCATAAAAAATCATGGATCCATAATGGATAATGTTGACATCAAGCAAATCTTCAAGAATGAAACGTACCCATCTCAATATATGATGCAAACTCCTATTAAAAAATCCAATTCATATCATATATCTGTCTGCTTCTTTTCTTTATACAAAACGTAATATAATAATCCTACCAGCTTATCCTTTTGTATAGCCTCAACTGTAGAAAAGAATTACTATCAAATTAAAAAAAAATCACTGCGAAAACAAAAGAAAATCCAACTATATGAAATATGAATATACTAAAATTTTCCACCTCAAAAGAAAGAAAAAGAAAAGGGAAAAACTGTATATAGGAAATCAAACTGTTTTTTTAAAATCAACCGGTAGACGGCGGGTAAGGACTAGAATGCGACCACGGCGGCACCGGGAAATCCGAGCCGGCGGTCGGCGTCTGACTTGGATTCGGATTCTGGCTCTGTTGCGGCCGGTAATAACCGGATTGCTGCTCACCCGCGAAAAGCAGGGGAAATGAAGCAGAGGAGGAAGAAGAAGGAGAAGGAGATTGAGCGCGAACCGAAGGTGGAGAAGTCGTCGACGGCAATGAGGCAAACGGCAGAGCCGGTGGAACCTGCGAGCTGTATAGCAACTGTTCTAATAGCGACGATGGCTGCTGCTGCTGCTGAAATCCACCGCCACGGCCGCCCGCGGTGGAGGAACTCTGCAGTAACTGGGAGTATTGCCAGTAATCCCTCACCAAATCCGCCTGGTGCTGAGGCAGCGCCGACGCCGGTGCCTGAGCAAATCCACGGAATTGAGCGGACGGCTGCGGCGGAGCAGGATTGAGGCGGGGAACGATTTGGCGGGCGGCGGCGGCGGAGGATGGGGCATTGATATTCAGCATTGGCGGCTGGAGAAGGCGGACGTTTTCCGGGAAATTGAGCTTGGCTCTGCTTCCCCTGAATCGGAGGGCGGCCTCGTCGTATGCTCTGGCTGCGGCCTCCGCCGTGTCGAATGTCCCCAGCCAGACCCTCGCCGCCTTGTGCGGGTCTCTTATCTCCGCCGCCCATTTCCCCCACGGTCTCTGCCTCACTCCTCTGTATCTCCTCCTCCTTTCACCTCCCTCGCCGCCGCCAGACTCCGTGGAAGCCGGCGAGGCTGCCGCCGCCGTAGGGATCGCCTGTGAATTAGATGAGTCCTCTGCTTGGGCTGTATCCAGAGATTGGAATGTGAATCAGAAATCAACATAAATCAATTTAATATAGTATATATTCATAATTAATTTTCATCGCTTTGAAGCAAAGATTTTGAGATTCCCTTTTCTAAGTTCTCTCTTTTTCCTTGCCCATGGTATTGCAGAAAATAACTGTTCCATTGGTTTAGGCAAGGCTAGCAATAATACGTTAACAAAACGTACAGAAAGAACTGTATCAAATATCAACGTATAAACCTTTTTCATTGTATTGCGTATACTAAATTGGTAGACCGAAATTGATTTAAAATGTATAAAAACTTGCTTCGTACATACGGTGGCGTAGTCAGAAATTTAAATGAGAATGAATTAAACATTTACGTATATAGAATCTAAACTCATCATGGATCAAACCTTATCGGCTACTATATTTTGTCAATTTAATTCAAAATTTACATATAAAGGATTAGCTCTGTCACGAATGCTAATTGAATAATCAAATTTCATTCTAATTGCATTCTAATGGTGTACATTTATAAAAAAAAATATTTATCCCAAAAATTTGAAGTGGGAAATTTTAAAAGAGAGATGTATTTGAATTATAATTACATACGTATACGTATGTACTAAGTAAATTATCTATTCCAAAAATACGAATTCTAACTTTAGAAAACAGAGCAGAAAACAGGGGAAGAAGAAACAGAGTAACAAAGAAAAGGGAATTTACCAGTTGCACCACCAGAAGAGGAAGAATCGCCCCCACGAATCAAATCACGACCGAAACCTCGAAATTTCCTTTCTCGCTGCTCCATCAATTGAGCGACGGAAGCCGTCTCATCTTCTCTCTCCCTCTTCTGACCGACCGCCGTCCACACCCCTGCAGAGGAACCAGAGCCAGCAGAGACCCCTGAAGAAGTACTCGATACCTGCGGCGGCGGCGGCGACGATGCTGTCGCCGCTATTCCACCGCCGGAGCCCCATCTTCCGGTGCCGGAGACGACATGGGTGAGAGCCGAAACCATGGCGGACATATCTCTGGCGCTTCGGTGCCCGGAAGGAGCATCAATCTTCATCATCAAATTCCCCTGATCCCCCGGCCCCGCAGCTTGCTGCTGATTCGGATTGGGATGGCTGAATTCGAATTGATGACGGAGATGGGCAGGAGCGAAATCTTGTGGGGTGTTCGGAAGCGGCAAAAAGGCTTCATCTTTTTGTCGATTACTGCTACTTTCAGCAGCATCCTGATCGCCGCTGGGGTAAGAAGAGGAGGAGGAAGAAGTGAAAGGGGGAAAGTAGCTATCGCCGCCGCCGCTGCTGCCGCCTTGTTGGTCCGCCACCTTCACGAACAAGCACATGAACTAATAATAGATGTTGATTCGAAGCACGAAGAAGACGACCACCAAACCAACTATCATATAAAAAACACCCCCTCAAATTCTCCTTTCTCTGCCGCTCGTGGGTCTTGAATTTCCTTTCTTTTTCAATTTACTTTTCCTTTTGGTGGGGGTATGAATTGTTTTTGCGTGAATGAAATTGGTTTGTGATATAAAATGGAAGAGGTGACCCCTGGTTGAAGTTAACGGCAGAGAGAGAGAGAGAGAGAGAGAGAGAGAGAGAGAGAGGAGGGTGGAAGTGGAAATGTTGAATATGTTGTTTTGTTCGTGTGTGTTAAGGATATATATGGATTTGGGAGAGAAAGATGTATGAAATTCTGATTCGAAGAATTCAGACTAGACCAGCCTTGAAAAAGCCAAAGCCCAGCCCAGCCCATGCAGCCAGCCGCCACGAAAACAGTTCTAGAGAACATGCCATTTTTTTTTTAAAGTTTACATATATTTATTTGGATAATGGCTTGAATAGTTATTTTTTCTTCTTGTTTTTAGAAGTTAGAGAAAACATGTTTATTATGTTCAGTTGCTCACTAGTAGATTTTTTTTTAATCAGATATCATTAAGAATACGAATAGGCTAAGTCCAAACGGAAAAGTGCAAGCCACATAACGGTAGAATTGAAATAGAAACTCAAATATAAGGTCAAACAAACAGGCCCAGTACCCAATAGGGTCCTGACCCATGACCAAAACATGCAAAAGTACTCCCAACACTAGTCGTCAGAGCCCCCCTCTGCTCTCTTCTACCGCCGCGGTCGAGATCCATCGCCGCCAAAAGATCACAACACGCCTCCTCCTCCCACCAGCAGTCGTGAACCCGGAAGACAGGATGAGGACGCATTTAACCATCCCCACTCCGAGTCAATCAACAGAAGCTTCCCGCCGACAACACCCAATGAAAACATCTGATCAACTGGACGGTCAACAAAAGAGACAAAGGGTTAAAATACTTCCGCCTTCAAGCTCTCTCAACCGCGTCCAAAGCCAGAGGCCACGTCTCCCGATCGTCAAGATCTGCAAAACGAAACAAGGAAGTAGACGAGGGAGGGGAGAGGAGAAAACAAGCAAGATCTATAAAAGATTTGGTCTCCTTCGTATCTTAGACAAGGAACACATTTCCAGATATGGGAAGACCAAATCAGAGGCCAAAAGACTCCACTAGCAGATAGTAGCGCACTCTCCCGCGCAAATGACAATAACAGTGGGCCATAATAGAAATTTCACTCTGAAGTCCATTATAGTTCATTCTGAGAATTGTCAGGCCTCCTACCAAAATTGGAAAACAAAGGATTTGACGCCCTCTCCTAACCCCATAAGTCACCGGTACCGCCGACCACACCTCCTCTCTCACTACCTCCATCTCAACTCTTCATCTCGATCTTCGCTATACCACCAGCCACCGCTCCCAAAAAGTTTTCTGCATCTCCCTCTGCTTTTATTTCTCTGCTAGATTTTGCGATAGCTTCCTGGATTTCTTAATATTTTTTCGTTCGTTAGTTTAATCCTGGTTAATCTGGCCAAATTATGATGTTTCGGTTTCTGGGTTTGAACCAGTTTGTTGAAAGATGATCCGGATCTTAGTTGTATGATCCATCATTGTTTTGCAATTTGGCGATATCGAGTTAAGAGCATCCACGTAACTGGCCCAATAACGTTGTTGTGTTTCAGTGGGCCCATCTTGAACCCCCCCCCCCCCCCCCCCCCGAAGAAACAAACAGAAGGCAGAGGTTAGTTTCTGACCCAATGTACAAAAGTGTCATCGAGGTAGGTTAGGAGGGCACGTACTCTTTGCATGATATACCCAACTCGATCTCATGCTATTTTGATTTCCATCTCTATTGGTGTGACTCAACGATGCCGGTCGACTACTTTCTATACATAAGAGGAGATGATCGTGTTCGAGTTTGATAAGATAAGAGTGAAAATTGGTTTCAGTTCATGCACCTGCTTCGGATCTCGATACGAGTCTCGACGGAGCACTATGTATGCAAATGCATTGCTATAAGGGCTATAATGTATGTACGTAGTCTGCAGTGAACCTGTCAATAGAAATTGGTTTTTGTTACATGTTGCGGTGCTCGTCTGCTTCAACGTCCTCTTCTTCTCTGGCTTTGTTGCTTTTGTGAAATCCATCAACTTCCGGTGAAGATGAGTAGGATGGTAATCAACACCCTCTACCAATAAATAAAACATGATTCGCCACGTGGATAGATCTTTATGGTCGCAAGCCCCACCTTTCCTTAGTATATCCATTTTCCATCCACTCTCTCCTCTATATAAACCCCACTCCCCATTTCACCTAAACTCCATTTCCATCCACTTTCTCCCTCTCACGTTTCACCACTCTTCGGTACCAACAAAATACAACAAAATCATATTTGAGACGACCACCACCATCAGATCCTCCGTCCTACAATCGATATCAGCCATGGCAAGCGTTGGGTCCACGCCCATCGGAGGGACAAAGTTCGAGGCTAAGATTACTCCGATCGTCATCCTCTATGGCAGCCTCATGTTTGGCTACAATGTTGGTGTCTCAGGTAACGTACCTTAATTTACCCAATAATAATATCTCTTTTGTAGCATCACGGAGTGCCTGCATGCATGCTGGTAAAAAATTTTGGGTATTTTTTAAAATTATACAAATCCGGGACCTCCAACCCCATTTGCTTTCTGATTCTCTCAATCTGCCTTTGAGGCAATTTCAATACCTGGGTCATCTCTCTTCTCCGATTCTCAATTCGTGTATCCGTGTCATTCCCCTGCATTGGTAATACTCTTTTTTGTTGTGATTCAGTCATTTATTCATTCCCCTATTCCCCTTCTGTATCTTTCTGGTTCGACTTTCTCATCTTAGTTCACTTTCTAGCTTGCAGATCAACATGTTTTCGTTAGTCATCTTTATTTTTTTAGCCGTAAGTAATGGTTGATCTTTGTAGAGATATAGTTTCTCTTATGCAATTATATATGGTATGTGAATCGTGATTTTTGGTGAGTGCTCTTTTGTTTTTTCGAATTCGAGTTTCAGATTGTTATATATGGTGACTGCGGTTGGGACTTCTGGGCCAGGCGTCACTCTCCAAGTGACAGGCGGCGACATGCAAAGTTTAGTGTTAGGAGATATATAGCAAAGTTGTAATATGATGGAAAACAGTATGTTTTTTTTTTGGGATTTTGGACAGGTGTCGGCAATGTAGGCATTTTCAGCTTGAAACCCACCTTTTATATATAGGTACTAAAAAGAAAAATATATGACCGAAAATATTCAAATTCACAAAACGATAATGAAAGGATCTTACCTGTTACTTTATTGCTAACTCAATTAGTAGTTTTAGCAAGGAGTTGAAATCAAAATATTATCTATATGGTAAGCTGTTAGATGAGGGCAATCACATAGATCAAGTTATCAAACGCAACAAAAGTAGTTCAAGCAAGGAGTTAAAGGATGACAATAAGAATATCACATTTCTCGACCACTAGACCAATAGAAAAGCGAACTAACAATAGAAAAGCATCATTTGCCACTAAGAGGTTTGTTAGAGGGGTATAAAATGTCGATATCGTGAAACGCACAAGCAAACAACACTGAAACACCACCAGCATGAACAACCAGTGCTATAGTGTTGAGATTCGTATATATATAATAACTCCCCTTCCTGTGGATTATATCTTGTACCCTGCAAGGTTGAACGACATAAATCGCGATATATGCTTTCACTATTTATTAATTTTTTCATGGTATATGTACCTTTAATCGAGAGGTCAATAACAATCCAAGCACCAAACAATGAAAATTGTATGAAGTAGTTTATTCCTAATTATATGATTATGAATCTCAATATATAGAGGAAACATCTAGACGAGGGACATCTACATCGAAATTAACCTTGAGTAACTTAATAGACGAGAGGGTAATTAAGAGGATGCACAATGAGTTTTTTTAAAACTCATAAACTTGTTATGTATATTATACAATATACACACAAGACATTGATAGCATAAGCTAAAAACCATCATGTTTCGCAGGTCATGATGACTTTAACTCTCGATTTCAAATACCGACAATGAGAATGGAAACTAGAGAAGAAACAATTATGAAGTACTAATAGCCGTAGGATTAAGTTCTAAAGTGGTTTCTAGGTGGTAGAAAATTGAGTTAGATTAATTTGTCTCTCTAAACCAACAATAGGCAGAATATACAGATTCGGTAGTAAAACTCCATGCATCTACATGGATGCTTACTACTACTAGGAAGTAAGACGTACCATCCATATTGTTAAGGGTTTATCATGTGGGTTTAGGGCTTCCTCAAGCATATGGCCACGTGTGCCGACTTATGCCATGGTCACACTCAAAAAGGGTTTTGACCCAGTTCTCTGAATTTGGTCAGAAGGTACAACCCACAATGATATTATTTACTTGGTGGTGGATTTTCCAGTAATATTTGTAGTCAGAAGCAAGTAATTCATTTATTTTTGTCGGTAATGAAAAAGGGACGAACCAAATGTGGGGGAAATGAATTCGAGAGAGTTCAGTATGGAATTGGATTTCTATAACCGACAAAGGCCTATGTAAGAATGCTTCAAACTCTTTCTTTAACATTCAGTTAAATGTTAATCATGTGGGGGATCAAGTTTTGCTACACATGTTCCTTATTATTATTTCCTTCAACCGTCGTAGATAACATAGATCCGATCTCCAGTACGTTTGATGGGGGATTGACGTCGTCGCCGTCTAGATAAAAGGAAGATTTGTAGATCCGATCTCAGCTATGTACGTGTAGTTAGGGCTGGGAAACGGTGCGGTCTGGTCCAGACCAGATCATATATACGGTCTACGGTCAGTGGCGTAGCCAGGATTTCGTATAAGGTGGGTTCACCTGAAAAAAATAAATTTATAAAATAGTTTTTTAATATAATCTTACGTTGAAAACTTTTGATAAATTAAAATGTATTAGCAGTCGAAGATATCAAGAATATCACTTTGCATATATATCAAACAATCATTGATTTAGCAGTCGAAGATATCAAGAATATCACTTTGCATAATATAGTCTTATACCAACCAATAATTCATGATTTACCTAGTCGTTCGCTTTCGAATGATGTTCTTAAAAAAATATTTAGTATCAATAAATCAAGTTGTTGGAAGATTTCAATAATATATTATACCATTTACTACCATGCTCCCTTATAAGAAAATTAACTTATACGAAATTGATGTTTGCACAAATTTGTATACCGTATGCTGAAGAAATGACGTCGCTAAGATTCAAACACAAAACTTTTCGATCAACTATTCTCAATTAAACGCGACTCAATTTTGGATATCAATTAACTATCGTACCTAATTTAACCATTTTCCCCGAACCAAGGTGGGTCCCGGGACCCACCCTGTTACCCTCTCCCTCCGCCACTGTCTACGGTCCAGATCGAGAGGCTAAAGTATAGACCACAGATCAGACCAGAGACTATACGGTCTGGTCCAGACCACGCCTGTGCGGTCTAGTTCGGTCTGGTCTGGTCCAGATAGACCACACTCAACAAAAAATGAATAATTTGTTTAGTCAACCACACAAAAAATTGAACCCATAATCAAGAAAAATAATTGTTATTTGCCTTAAAACATTAATCCTAACATGCATGAATAATTTTGATACTCTAAATCTTAGTACATAACAAAGATACAAAGTAAAAGCATCCCAGCTTGCACCATAATGTCATAAACATTACCATAATGTCATATGGAGACACGATTATCTCTACTCTGTGGTTAAATGTGGTTGTGAGTGAAGGAGGGAAGAGATTCACAAAATTAAGGTTGAGACTTGGGTGTCGTTGTGGGAGTTTGGAGAGTGGTCAAATGGGTTATTAACACGTATTGACAAGTCAGTTGGGTCTACGGTTTGGTCCGGTAAACCGCGGTCTAGACCAGACCAGACCAAGAGATCAAATCATAAAATAATACAGACCATGGACCAGACCAGACCATACTTCACGATCTACGGTCCGGACCAAATTGTGCGGTACGGTTTGGACCACGGTTTTTCTAACGGTCTGGTCTATTTTCCCAGCCCTACGTGTAGTGATTGCTCCTAATACCAACCCGCCATGCAATAAAACTAGAGCGAGGATGATAGCTCCAAACAAGTTTGTACCATTGAAAAGTAGCTGCACTAAATCTCAAGGTTTCCCAAACTACCTTGACATAATACTTCAGCGTCAACTTATCATTCCAGAATACCATTGTTCTGGTAGAACACGTGTAGCAAATAAATTATCTTATAAGAAGAGATAAATAAACGAGATTAGTTATGGATCGATCGTATGGACTTGTGTGCTGGGCTTGACCTGGTGTTGAAGCCCAGGTGTTTCACGAGATGGGGCTTTGGCTCTCAAGTCATCGATCTTAAATCTTGGACGAACGATCGAGGTAATGTTTTTGTTTAGAAACAAACACACAACAGAGAAAAGTAAAGAGACACACACGTACACATAATGTTTTGTTAACCGAGTTCGGCCTATTGCTTTACGTCTTGGCTCCAAGAATGACTCTAGATCGCCCTCTCTCTTTGGTTCGTCCCTTGGGTGTTTGGGATCCAAAACTCAACTCTCTCTCTCTCTCTCCAAAAATCGCAAAACAGCCTTTATACCCGCTGAGATTCGCACCCCCGACTTGCACGGTCGTGCAAATTGAGGTTTTGACCATGCAAACCTCCTGGAAAACTCGCACGGCCGTGCACAATATTACACGGCCGTGCACAATTTCCAGCATGCACTCCTAAGGTTCGTTCAGCTCGTTTGAGCTCGTTTGACCTCCGATTCTGGTGTCGTCTGATCCCAGATGCTCGTAGTCTCTTCCTCTTCCTTCTAATGATAAGCTTATATGATTCTTTGTCAGTAAAATGAGGTATAAATTCATTCATCCTCAAGGCATGCCCGAGTTTCTCCCCTCGAGTCACCAATTGATCTCCGATTGACTTGAAACTTGCGTTTATGCTTCACTTTATGTGCTAGGACCCGAAATGTGACAAATGAACACAACCTAGTGTAAAATAGGCCAAGTAAAGATTAATTGCCATGTTAAACGATAAAGAAATGAAGGGGAAAACATGTGAAAATATTGAGTCATCAGCGAGTATTTTTTTTGTTTTTTTCTCATTAAAATTGGGTGACTCAGCACCTCTGTTAGCCACATCAGCAGTTAACTGACGGTGTTAACGGAGTCTAACGAATACGAACGGCCAGTGACCAAATTTAGACTACAACACTAATTTAAATGACCATGAATGAAATAAAATAAAGTTAGTGACAAAGGTGAAATGTATTAGTAATTCCATTGACCAAACTTGCAATTTACCCTTTTTACTCTTCTTTGGATACTCACCCAAAACCAGCTTTTGTTATTTATCCTAGTTATCTACTGTTACGATACGAGCCATTCGTAATAGTCTAGGGATTTCTGGGCTCATCTATTTTTAGTAGAATTATTAATTAGTTAGTATTTCGTATTATTTGGATATTAATATCGTTTACTTGTCTTAGTAGGATTTGGGATTGTTTTCTAGTATGTTTAGGATTTGGTTATCTTTTCCTTGTGGGAAAGGTTTCATGTTCTAGATAGGAAAAGGTAGAGGCTTCTTATGCCTATAAATATGTATTGTGTCTTTCGTTTAATGGGGAGGAGAAGATTGGAACCCAAATAGCTTTCTTATTGTCTTTCGTTTATTGCGAGTTACCTAGTTTCTTTGAGCGTTTATTCTATTTTTTCAAGCAATTGTCGATTTTGTTAAAGTTACGTTCTATTTTTCAAGCTCCGGGAAAAATTTACGTAACTTCTACTTGCAATAATTAAATCTTACATGACCTAAGATCCTAACTTGAAATAGCTAGTGAGGAAATTGGATGACTACTCCCTTGATCATTGGGCCCCAAATTCTTCCATTCAACCTTTTGGGTTTCAGTTCTTGATTCTCAAGCATCGATCCATGGGGTTGAATATCATTGTAGTAGGCCCATCAAATCTTGGGTTCACATATATAAATCCCATATGATATGATGATTATCCTTTTTGTACGGTGGTGTGGAAATCCCAAATGATAAGCCGACTAAGGTAAGTTACTGCTGAAATGGGGACGCACATATTTTTGTCCATTATTCCATCACTCCATCTCTCGCTATCACCAAAGATTTACTAAAAATTCGACCTCAATCTACACCATTTCAAATATACTTGTCATATTTGACTCTACAATAGGGAGAGATGGCTTGTGATTTCAGTTGTTTGATCGTCGGAGCGTTTAA